CGACACACGTCGACGTCGCCAGAAGGTTAGGCTGCGCACGCATCACTATCACCAGGTTGATGCAGCGGTTACATCAGACAGGTCAGACGTCAGACAGGCCCAGGAGTGGAAGACCACGAGTAACCACGCCCCATTAAGTTCGGTACATCCGGGTATTACACCTGAGGAACCGCACCGTAACAGCGACGTCCACGGCGGCTACAGCACTGGGACACAGGATCAGTCGACAGACCGTCTACAGGAGACTACGGCAGTATGGTATCCGGCCACGTCATCCCTACCGCGGATCGCTCCTGACGCCTCGACACCGGAACAACAGACTGATCTGGACCAGGCGAGTTCTACGTTGGCAACGGCGGGACTGGGCACGTGTTATGTTCTCTGATGAGAGCAGATTCCTCATCTTCAAAAACGATGGACGGCAGCTTGTATACCGACGATTTGGTGAACGTTTGGCGCCTAACTTTATCCAACAGGTCCGGTCGTTTGGAGGTGGAGGTTTAATGGTTTGGGGTGGCATATGTGGTGACGTCAAAACGAGGCTTGTTGTAATTCGTGGAAACCTAATTGCACAGCGTTATATTGATGACATCCTACGGCCTGTTGTGGTGCCCTTTATTCAGCAACAGCCTCGTGGACTCCTTTTCCAACATGACAATGCAAGGCCACACACCGCAAGATTGACACAGAACTTCCTTGCCAACGCCAACGTACAGGTTTTGCCATGGCCCGCATGTTCACCGGACATGAATCCCATCGAGCACTTATGGGACCACCTCGATCGGCAAATCCGACTTTGCTGTGTGCCTCCAGTCAACGTCCAAGACTTGGAACGATGTCTTCTCGAGGAATGGCAACGAATCACTCCCAACGTCATCAGACGTTTGACGGCATCAGTCCGTAGGCGTGTTCTGGCATGTATTGATGCTCACGGTGGACATACCCGCTATTGACTTGACTTTGTGACGTGTGGTGTGACATTTCCCGTTGTTTCTGTGATCAGTGCTCTAACGAAATTTTCTTTTTTCGACCCCAAACATCTTTAAAGGCTTGTCATATTGGTTGTACAGATTTTATTGAAATGAAATTTTTGTACAGATGTTGTGAAAGGATTTCTCAAAAGCATAACACCAATCCTAAACTTCTGCATTGTTTAGTTTTTCTTTTATGTCGTTGCAAACATGTGGTATCGTTTCTTTTGGACACTAGTTTATAATATCCCCGAGATATTAATTGAAAAGTAGATTGACGTAACCACAGGGTTTTAACATGCGAGATAAACGGGACTCTATATCCTGTCAATTAATAGCGTAAAGCCCTGTTTTCCTTGCTTGCTGTCCACACGTGTATATGATTCGGCTTAAGACGTGATGTGATTATATTTTATTTGACAATTAGTATTTTACAAACCTGATGGGCAACAAATTACAATACAATATGTGTATGAAACTTTTTAACTTGTACAAATTTGAAATATATAGCATGTTTTATTAATCATCATACACTTGCATTGCACATAAAATTAATGGAGTAGTCACACGTTCTTGATAAAAAAAATTCCAGTTACATGTAAAGCTTACATGTTTAGGAAAATTCCACCTTAAATTTTGCTGATAATCACCCTCTGTATAACAAACTTCTACATGTTTTTATTGTTATCAATACAATGTCTATCTATGCCTATCATTGCTATTTTGTTGAAATCACAAACACAAGACAATATTCTGGAGTAAGCTCACTGCAATAAAATTAAGCTCAACACAATTTGCACGTGTCATCATAAATTGTTTTGAAACATAATGTGCCTCAATTTTGTATGTGTATCGGGTACACTGGTAGCATCAATTTGCATGGTTCTAATTTTAAATCAGACGTCTGTGGTTCCTGTAAGTCCAAAAAAAATTTTTTTAATGATTTATCCATAATACCCTTTGCAATTAGTGATGCCATCAGTTGTAGTGGAATTGCAAGAACCACAGACGTCTGATTGAAAATTGGAATTGTGCAAATTGATGCTATTAGTGTCCCCGAGACACATACAAAATTTAGAAAACTTTATTACAATCTCTTTAATATTGTCTTGTATTTGTGATAATTACGTACTTCTAAATATGTTTGAAGTCTTACAATTTGTAGTTGATACTTCAATTTACCTAATTGGTTAAATTTGATTTAACTCTTAAAGTACGAAGTCTTTAACAATTACTAAATTTCCTGAGTTTATTTTTCAGTTTGGTTTTGGCCCCACATACTTAACATAAGTCTAGATATAATATTATAACAAGAAAGGAAAGTGACAAAGACAAAATGCAAACAATGTCGATACTGTGGAAGATTTTTAAAAATCTGTAAAGACATCTGACACAAGGGATGCACATAATGAATACAGTTTTTTGATCATTTATACTTAAAGTACGATTATTTTAATCTCATATCTAGATGTGTTGTTTCCTGTTTTTTTTAATATTTTCACGTGCCACCCATGATCTTCCAAACTTCTTTTTAAACTAGTGTTCTGGCGAAATTTCATCCAAAAATAGCTAATCTATGAAAAATGTGACCATACAAGTAAATGGTCAACAATGAATATCCCAGAGTTATATTTTGAATGCAATCTCTGATTGAGCAGATTTTTTGATTGGTTAAGTATTAAGTAACTTGTCTTGATTGGATTGTTGCTATGGGTCCGGGCACACGAACGTTCTTGGTCGGAGATTTTTGTCGCCAACTAGAGTCTTGTCAAGAGTTTCACCGACTGGCAAGGGCACACAAATGAAGAGCATGTAATTGAAAGGAGAATTGATCTGACAGGATAATGACCGTCTGTCTTGCAGACGATAAAACTAACCGATAAAATTATCAAGCTTGTTTGATATTGTAATCTTGTTGTGGAAGCACGGGCACACAGGAGATTTTACTAAAGACTCAAGATTTTTAATCTTCGACAAAGACTGCTTGTGTGTCCGCACCTTTAATCTAATATTGCATATACTTTCAGCAAACATTCTACATGAGACTGATCCAACTTTCTGAAAACAGCTCGATTATAAAATAGAAATTTGTTCTCCCTTCAACTCCACAGCTATTTTTCTGAGCTTTTGGTTTTACATGATCAATAAATATAACTAAGTTATGTGGAATCTCCAGTATTCTGGATAGTTATTAACATCTCCAACAGAATCATACAATTTAAAGCTCAGAGCTGATATGATGAATATGTACAAGAATTTAAAAATATAAATAAATACGAATAATATATGTATAAAATAAATAAAAAACATGCATCATTCAAAGCTGTGTGAACTCCCTGGACTGTCTCTATTTACACTAATGTTAATTTCATTTTTTTTTAAGCATTTGCTTTCAAGCCAATAAAGCTCCATTCAACCATCCGTAACACTTTTCAAAATGAAGATATCACATTTGGCCTTGATTATTAAAAATAAAACGTTGGGGCACAAGTCATGATATCAACACCATACTGATTGTAGTAGCAGACACAGGCACAACTAGATTTATCTTAAATTACAGACAAACCAGAATTATGTTTTCATAATCAAAAGTACTACAGACTGCTGAATGAAAGATTTATCAGGTGGAAAAGAAAATATTGACTTTAACCCTTTAAACTAAAAGAAACAGGTTTAATTTAAAAACTGGTTCATATGATACTATAATGCTGGATTGTAATCATAGATAATTATGCAGGTTATATATATATAGGATAATTCCCCAAAAGAAAACTAAAAATAACAGGAAGGTTGAACTATGGGTTTTTGCTCAGTGACTTTTCTAGGAAACATTAGGTGAAGGGGTCGAGCATGGGCCACAAAATATTCCAGGGGGAGGGGGCAAAGGCCATACTTTCACTTTGCAAAATGATTAGAAATTTGAAAGTGGGAATGCAAAAGCCGGGGCCAACCTCTTTTCATGGTCCTCTCTGGCCCCCCACACCTTCCATAGCAACGCCACTGTTTTTGGTTAGTTCCTGGCATAGCCCAAAATAAAAACTTTGAATTTATCAAGTTGGAGAAATTGTGCATTGCTACTTGTAGCTGTAACTAAAGGAAGCACTCTTAACATACACCATAAACGAACAATTTCATTTCTGTCCCACAAAAACATTTACACTCAACATCTTTGGTGTCTAAATACACATATAACAGCAAGCAATAGGGCTCAAACACTTTTCAGAAATAAAAGCATACATACTCTTAGTCTACAATCAAATAGGTTAAAATATAAAGAAATCAGTAAAGGTTACCCATTTCAACCAAAAGAGACAAAAACAAAAGAATATGGCCATGCATCACTGAAAAATAGTTAATCCCAAAAAATTAGTTCATAAGAAAACTTTTTTTCAATTATAAATAAAATGTATGACAAAAACATCATTCTTATCTGGCCAGGCATACATAGAATAGAACCCGTTTACACAGTCAGAATTTTGATTTATTATGAGCCTAATTTTCCAAGAAAACCAATGCATTCCTTATAACCAATACATACATTGGAATCCATTTGACATTTTTTTCTCAAGGCAAAAAAATTTGAATGTTGGTACAAAAATTCCATTTTTACTTGAAGCACTTTCAATTGCTATTATGCACTTATAGGGTTTTTTTATCACATAAAATTACATTATCATTCCAACAATACCAGATACTCTAGGGATGTTGATTTGCCTGTTTTTGCCAGTCCTGTCATTCTTTCGAAGAATTATACCCACGTTATATAAACTAAACTGGTTTTACTATAATTTGTCCCAGCAATCATGATTTCAGATGTCTTTTTGGCAATGTGGAAATCATTCGTGACACATAAAACATATAATTATATAAATTTGCAGGGCTGTTGATTTAAATGTATTAGCCAGTACTGACTGATTGTAAACCCAAACTGTTTGGCAGCAACGTTTATGCACATTTAAATTCTACTGATCTATTTTGTAGAACTTCATCCATATACTAACCTGACATACTTAAATGTTGCCCTTTGAATTTTTTTTAGCACCAGCCTTTTTTATTGACTGTTTTAGCCAATCATGTTGGCATTTCAATGGAAAACTAAACTGTTTGGCACTAAGAATCACACCTCACATATCAGATATATCTGATGGTCTGTTGATTTAGATATGGCAGTAATGTATAATTTAATCTCAGAGTTTCATCTAATGATGGAACTTTCAGGACATTTCTTGTGCACATCCTTAATTTGTGAATATTTAAAATCACAAGATAAAATCTCTGGCAGTGAACATTCTAGTTCCTTCATTCCACAGATAAATACTTTAAAGCTTTTATTCCATATTTCTTGGATAAATCTCTTTGGAATTCCCCTTTCAGTGATTTTAAACACCTGGAAATTAGATCAGAGAATATTTTTACTCAACTTCCTTAAAAAGATTGTACAGAGGTTTTCTAAAATTTGTATGTGTATAGGGAACACATATAGCATTGATTTGCACCATTTCATGATTTTCACTATTTCAATCATATTCCCTTATATATCAGTAGCACCTTTTGCAATAGTAACATCTTTAAAAGCTTACTTTTAGTGGAATTGCAAGAGTCACAGACATCTATTGAAAATTGGAATGGTGCAAATTGATGCTACAAGATCCCTGATACACATAAAACGTTAAGAAAACCTCTTTATAATCCCTTATATTCAGTGAAATTTATATATTTTAATATCAATATTCCTTTGAATAGATAATGTAGCATTCTGATTAAGATAGCTTGCCAGGCAAGGTAATATACACCAACTGGCAGCTTTGATTTTGAATAAAAATATTTAGCAGTACAGTAACAATTACCAGTATGAAATATTCAATCTTCAGCGTGGGACTGAATAATGAAAGCAAGTATTGTCAAAATCCAGCAACAATCATACCATTTACTGTTTAAGAGCTAAATTTGAAAGCGTTTACAGGAACAAAGGCAGTAACTCATACTTAATATTTTTCAATTCTTCTGATTTTCGATAGAGTTCAAGAATTGTGCCTTCTAGAGTGTTTACGAGCTAAAAATTGAACGCGTTTTCAAGAACAAGTGCAATAACTCATACTAAATATTTTTCGATTCTTCTGATTTTCGATTGGGTGATTACAAACACACACCAAGTTTTGTCAAAATCCGTCAAGAATTGTGTCTTGTAGAGTGTTTACGAGCAATTGTGGATGGACTGACACACGGACGGACATGGGTGACAGCAATATACGCCCCCCATTTCATGTGGGTGTATAAAAATACTTATCTAGTGTCTTGTATGGTGCTTCTTCTCGAGTTATTACAAACACCATCCATGATCTGATGAAATTTGTTTTTAAAGCGTGTTCAAAAAATTGTGTTTCAAATTTTGCCCAATTATGTCCAAAGTTGTCAGAATGCATGAAATCACACTTACCTTCTATATAAGGAACTTGATCTAAATTTTGCAATATCAAAACTAGGTGCATGTGGCATGTGTATCATAAATGCATTTGGAAGAACAACAAACTCATACCTTGAAAGAAAAAGTAAACTAGGTTTCAACAATGTCTCATCTTTTTATTACATTTAGAAATTGTAATATTATTATCTCTTTTCTCTTTTTTATGTCTAAGGTGTCAATTAATATTAAAAAAAGTTTTGGAAAGGCAGGGTAAGAGGCTTCAAGTCCTACCAAAATGTTGTTGTGGACATGGGTGCTTAAAGTGACCAGATGTTACTTTACAATTGCAGATAACATATTTTGATAGTAAATTCAGTTTGTTACATTGGCATATAAATACAATGAATACCAGAAGAAAATCAAAGCCTGTAGCCAACTTTTAACTCTGAGAAGTACTACAGAAATTGAGTTCAATCCCTCTATGAGTCTATAACCTCAAATACTGGGTTTCGTTTTTTAAAAATCACTCACCCTTGAGCATCTAATTCCATGATATGTGAAACTTTATTCCATCCGAATCCCATAAACCTCTGATCATACTTTGGTATATCACTTCTGACTACTACATAGGGTTCAAAATCAGCTTCCCAATTCACCTACAATAGAGCACCAACTACTCTTATATTCAAGATCACAAGATAATTTCTGATTCCAAGGCAAGTGCTTTCAAGAGTAAGCCTAGTATCAGATTCCTTATACTGGATTTGTCCATGCCTTTCTAAATGAATGTCTCCATGGAGGAGGCTGTATGTGCATCAAACCTAGGGACTAACAAGTGGTTTTCTAGGCTTTGTTTGTGCATTAGTCATATCTTGCTTTTATTTGTTCCATTTCGCCAAAAGGCATAAATCTAATGGTATAAGCTTTAATGTAGTAATATATATATAAAGATATGTAATTAACACTTACAGTATATGGTGTTGTTGCAGTTCTCCATTTATCAAAATTAGTTGGAGAATGTCCTTGAGGCCAAACATGAAATCTGAAAAAAAAAAAGCAGAGAAACATTAATTGATAATGATAAATTAACACAATTTTACACTTGTTGGTGAAACACCCATCACAGATAGCATCTTTAAGGCTGTATTGTTATTGACTTAGCTCCTCTAAATCAGTTATGTAGTAAATAATATTCTCACCTGAATGTAAACAAACTACCCATATGTAACATAGATAATAGTTCAGATTTAGATTTAGGATATGTTAATCTATATCTTTGTGTTTCAAAAGCTGGAACTATCAATGCCTACAAGAGATAATAGTTCAGATTTAGGATATGTTGATCTATATCTTTGGGTTTCGAAAGCTGGAACTATCAATGCCTACAAAAGATAATAGTTCAGATTTAGGATATGTTAATCTATATCTTTGCGTTTCAAAAGCTGGAACTATCAATGCCTACAAGAGATAATAGTTCAGATTTAGGATATGTTAATCTATATCTTTGGGTTTCGAAAGCTGGAACCATCAATGCCTACAAGAGATAATAGTTCAGATTTAGGATATGTTAATCTATATCTTTGGGTTTCGAAAGCTGGAACTATCAATGCCTACAAAAGATAATAGTTCAGATTTAGGATATGTTAACCTATATCTCTGGGTTTCAATAGCTTAAACTATAATGGTCCAAAAGAGTTTAGATGTAGCAATAGAGAATCATATATTTTGACTTTTAAGCTGAATAATTAAGGATTGAATTAGAGCTGAATTTATGAAACACTTTAACAATTTTCTTACCTTCTTTTGTTCCTTAAGATCCATCATTGGAGCTGCTTTCTTTAAGTATTCATATAAACCAAACATAGGTAGAAAATCTATATCAGATAAATACACATAGGGTGTTCTTACTTGATTTAAGGCCACATTACGTAAATAATTCACTGGAAAAAATTGCTGAAAAACAAGACAACAAAAACAGACATCATCTATTTGCAGGATTTTGAATTTCTGGAAATGAAGCGCCACAAAGGCAATGAAATTCCATTTCCATTAAAGATATTTCACCATCAATTTCAGAAACCAACCACCCAGGTTCTTAGACTGACTATCAAACTATGCAAGTTACCTAGTCTGGATTTGTCTATTTGATACCTCAGACCTGGCATTTTTGACAGTTGTAAAACAGACAAAATTTGTATAAGGATTTTAAAGCATTTATGATGTACATTATCATTTGTTGACACTACTTACAAGATGTTGTAGAAATTTTTTGGACATTTTTGTCGACCTTTCTCATTCTATGCTACCCAGTTTATCCAGGTTGAACAATACTCATCAATTCAACATGTGTTTTAAAAAAATTCCATCACAGACCACATTCTGGCACCTTATCTTTTAATAAAATAATGAAGCTTACCCCATCTTTATATACCACATGATATCCAACATTTTTACGTGCCATTAACGTGTCTGACCCTAGGGCGTAACGTAAAAACTGTTGAGCTTCAGCATCAGATATATATAATGCTATACTAATAGGACCTTCCCAATGTTGGCATATTAACTCTAACATTTGAACTCGATCCATACTCAACTGAGCGACTAGAGTGACATCATCATCTGAAGGTGTATAGTTATAGTCTAAATAATATAAATGTGTTCTATGTACGATCACACGCTCTCTTCTAAAATCATAACATTCATCATCTTCATTTATAGCATTGATCTAAAAAAAAAATAAATAAAACTTAAATTGATAAATTGGTTATACTAGCTATGTGTATAGCTTTTCAAAATCAAAATTTGACATCTAGTTCTTCTGCAATTCAACAAAAATTGTTCTCATGCTAACATTGTCCAGTGCCAATGTGCCAATGATGCCATAACATTAGCAATACCATTGTGGTAATTTCCATCGATATTTCTATATTTACTTGCAGACAAAGCCAATGTCCATTTACATTTTGAAAAGTGATACAGATAAAGCTTTTTTGGCTAAGTTTGAAATACATTTTCATACCTGTTCTTCTACTTGACTAGAGGAGCCAGTTGTTCCACAACCAAATAATTCTCGACGTAATAAATTACCATCATATTCTAAAAATGTTAAATACATATTCCTAAAAAATTCTACATGTTTATTCTTGACTTTCATCTTTCTGGGAGAATTCCAATGAATAATCTGAAAAATACCAAAAAGAATTTGCATATAAAAACAGAAACGTTATATCAAGCGGAATTGGGCATTGGTTCAAATGAATGACTGCTAATTTGTTCAATTTCGCCCCATGATTAATAACAGCAAAAGAAAAATCATTCAATACTTATAATTCTGCTAAGCATATCATTACTGCCTTGTACATTCCACTGACATGGTAGCTTTAATACAGAGCTACAGAACTTACCTTGAAATCTGATACCTCACTATAAAAATATTCTGATCTAGTTTTAAACATGGTAGCTTTAATACAGAGCTACAGAACTTACCTTTAAATCTGATACCTCACTATAAAAATGTTCTGATCTAGTTTTAAACATGGTAGCTTTAATACAGAGCTACAGAACTTACCTTTAAATCTGATACCTCACTATAACAATATTCCGATCTAGTTTCTAACATGGTAGCTTTAATACAGAGCTGCAGAACTTACCTTTAAATCTGATACCTCACTGTAACAATATTCCGATCTAGTTTCTAACATGGTAGCTTTAATACAGAGCTACAGAACTTACCTTTAAATCTGATACCTCACTGTAACAATATTCCGATCTAGTTTCTAACATGGTAGCTTTAATACAGAGCTACAGAACTTACCTTTAAATCTGATACCTCACTATAAAAATATTCTGATCTAGTTTCTAACATGGTAGCTTTAATACAGAGCTACAGAAATTACCTTTAAATTTGATACCTCACTATAAAAATATTCTGATCCAGTTTCTAACATGGTAGCTTTAATACAGAGCTACAGAAATTACCTTTAAATCTGATACCTCACTATAACAATATTCTGATCTAGTTTCTAATATGGTAGCTTTAATACAGAGCTACAGAACTGACCTTTAAATCTGATACCTCACTATAACAATGTTCTGATCTAGTTTCTGACATGGTAGCTTTAATACAGAGCTACAGAACTTATCTTTAAATCTGATACCTCACTATAACAATGTTCTGATCTAGTTTTAAACATGGTAGCTTTAATACAGAGCTACAGAACTTACCTTTAAATCTGATACCTCACTATAACAATGTTCTGATCTTGTATTATCACTAAGTTGTACATTCCATTGACATGGTAGCTTTAATACTAAATATGGATGTTGTTTAATAACAGCATTGAATATATCCTGAAAATAATCAGTTGTAAAGAATGAATTTCTTTTATACATATTCAGTGTCAATGTAATGGATTGTTCAAGCGCTAAGGTCCATTGCCAAATAAGAGACCCGAAATCAGCAAGCTAAATAAAGTATCTGAGCTAGAAATCACACAAAATCTAACGAATAAATAAAAACAATTTCCAAGCCTAAATTTTGAATAAAATTGACAGAAGATTTCTTTATGAAGTGTTCTAAGATTGAGAAGATACCTGGTCAGCCAATGAAGTAGCTAACATTGTCATTAATTCTTTCTCAGCTATTAATTTCCACATCTGCATCCAGCCAATTTCACGTAATGCTTTTAAATCTAATAATATGACTCCTGTATTGAATCCACGTCCCTAGAAAATAAGAGAGAAAATACAAATATTTACATTTTGAATGTTGGAAAAGGAACTTAAGAGATGCTGGATGTGATGTGAAGAGTGCATTAGGCAGAGATTTTTCACTCTTTCTACTAGTGATGGCATGATACATCTATGAATTGATACATTATCATATTGTGACGTGTGTATCAATACGTGTACCAGTCATACAACTACACCTTATACAAATACAGAAAGAATCTAAAGTAGATGTTTCAAGTTTGAATGTTAAGAAGTTACCTATTCAACAATATATCACTAGTTATATTATTACCTACAATAAATACAGTTGAAAGTTTCATTTCATTTTCTTCCAGTGCGCCTTATCACGATTAGTATTGTGTTCAATTCCATCTTGAATGATCCTTGATGATTTCATATCTACATTATTAATTTTCTCATTAATGGGATGCCATGTTCGTTCTTTACTTGTGATTGCATACTCCGAAAGGATAAATCTTGGTAAGTAAGATTGTAAAACTTACCAAAGCTGGCCAAGGTCGGTGGTTTTTCCATAATTTTCCTAAATACCAATCACTTTGGTTTTCAACTAAACCTATCATATTCTGTAAGTATCACAAAACAACATCTATATTATTTCATCAGTTCATAAAGCTTTATTTCAACTATCTATATCTTTTTTAAGAATGAGAAATTGACATCATGTTTGTCTTTAATTTAAGAAGAATGCACCAGCAGAATTGAGAACACTCAAATTATTCAGTCTGTTAATTTCTTTAATGATATGTACTTGATTGAGCATATGAAAACTTGCAACTCCATGCAGTGTGCAATGCTAAGCTACTCTTAAACATACATAGCTTGTAGCACACAGAGCCTTGGTTTATTGTCCCAACCAAACCCTCTTCAGACCTACATCACTAACTATAAGAAACAGGGTTGAAAAAGTCAATATATTCTTGGTACCTAGTTAAGCAAGCAAGCATGGATCATTTCAAAAATTTGTTTGGGCGCTTATATATCATATAGTTAGTTCAATTACCTGTTTATCTTTTAAAATTCTAAATATTTTCCATAATTCAGCTATATCAGTAGAGAATGTAACATCAGTATCTAATACTATCACCTAGAATATAATATTACATGACCTTTAACGCAAGAGTAAATTAGATGACAGTAGAATCTTACTACTGCTCGCATATATCTTAAGAACCAGCTATACCTAGTCATTTGGAGAGTCCTAATGGCAATTACTTGGATAATCTGTACAGGTAAGTTATGGTTATAATCTCAGCATGTAAAAGATTGGTGACCTTAAATAACTCATCTTTTCTCATTATTTCAGGTTAAGCAAAATGCAGGAAATATTGATGCAAAGTTTGGGTCAAGGAACCATTAGTAGGACATAAATTAAGACAAATTTCTACTGATGAACATTCCAGTAAGAATATACACAGATCATACTGATGAACATTCCAGTAAGAATATACACAGATCATACTGATGAACATTCCAGTAAGAATATACACAGATCATTCATGGTAAGAATAGTCAGCAAAGTAAAAAGTAACAAAAAAAAAACAGATCTGCAAATTAATCTTATAATCTTATACTATAAAATAATTACCTTTTCCATATCTTTTGGCAGTAATTTAGGTAAAGTTAGTTTCATTAAACCGAATATACCAGAATAATGATGATTTGGTATCCACGCTATATCAGGCTAGAAAAATATACAATACACATCAGTTAATGGCTTGGAAATTTTCATATCATTTAAGCTCATTCTGTTGACTGTTGAAAGTTTGTTATACATTATTTTTGAAAATAAGAGGAAACACACAACTGGACAAAATATTACGTTTGTCATTTGACAGTTATTTTTTTTTATTGTCAAATACATATTTTAGTTTTTTAATTTTAAAAAGTTAAATTGATATCCTACCTTAACTTGATCAGCTGGATAAAAACTGTACATTACTATAAAATATAAAAAGACTATCTACAAGTATTGAGCAAGATAGATAATGTTATACTTTTCAACTATTCAACCCATACTGCTTGGCAATTACATAATATAATATTCCACATAATGGAAAATAATTTCTTGATAAAAAGAAAAGAACAACAATGAAAATGAGTTTTTCAAACACTTTTCTGCACCCAAATTGGAAAAATGAAGATAGGCAATGCCATGAAGTGTACAGTGAGGTAAGCTTTGCCAAAACAGTTGCATTAGCCATCTGGTTTTGATCCTTGGATGCTAATTGACTTTTCGGAAAATAACATGGCATCAAAAAGAAAAAATTACCTTCAGCAACATTCCATGTTTCAAATAAAGTTTTTAATATTAACTCTGCTACTGTATCTGATACAAAGTGAAAATGAAGTGGATTTTTTCGATGAAATAAAATACTTTTGATTAGAGTGACAACATCTCTGGTAGAATTATGACCAGCACAAACAATAGCTACTTGTACCACCTGAAAACAAAATAATACAGTTTTTAAAGATGGGTTCCCTTATTTTCATTTAGGAAAATGAAAATCCTAATACTTATATGAATAGAAAGTAGGGGTGTTCTAATGATTTGGAAAAAATACCAGTTTGTCTCACATGTCCATAAATAATTCATAATGAGCTAAATTAGAAGGTAATTACCAGCATAATTACAATGGGTGGCCGATCAAGAAAGGTCAAAAAGTGGTTTTTTTTTTCCCAAAAAAAATAAGAAAACCCATCTTTAATAATTTATTTAATTAGCCAGTAATGGTATCTTATTCTTAGTGAAGAATTAAGGGTGCATTCTGTTTTATTTTGAAGATCAAAAAATTATTTTGCTCAAATTTATGTTTAGGTCACTATCCACCTAGTTGTTATCCTTATAAAATATAGTTGTTTCTTATTTTTTCAAAACGGCAATCAAACACAATATTGCTACCATGGCAGTTCAGGATTTTTTAAAATCAACTTGAAATAGAGTCATACCTCACATTTTGGTACATCTGGTTCAGTACTAATACATCTTATTTTAGTTTGATTACTATTATCACTACCATTAACAGATACCATACTCATTCTTAACTTTAATAACTGATTCTGAGCTAAACTGAAATAATAAACATTACATTCAAAATAGGGAACAAATATCAATGTCAACAGAGTTAATAAGGCAACTAAGCATCCCTTTTTAATCTCTTTTAGAGAGTCCACAGAGCTGAAAATACAGTTAAGTTCTTTATTCTGAATTCTGCTGGTGGACAACATTGTTCCTAAGGTCATTCTCAAACCTATCAGTTTTAAGATTTTCATCTGAAACTTTTGAATTTGAGCTCAACTATACTAATCTTATGAAGGGTGATGCAGGGCATTTTTGATTAATAGAAAACAATACTATAGGTAGATCAAATATAGGTTCCGTCAATTTGCCACATGCATAATTTGACAACAATATTTATTCGCTTTCCATGCTCATCTTAAGTGTCTTACTCGCACAACCACTCCGGTTTCCTATTTCTGTTCAGTCACCTACCTTAGTTGTTGTTTGAGTTTAACATTTTGAAACTCTACTTCTCTAACTTTATCGGCTAACTTAGTTTGTAGTTCATCTAATATGTCACTATTTTCATAGGATAATGGAGCTGAAATATTCACAATCAGTGTTATATTTCACTTTAGTAAGAAAATATTTTGAAAATTCTGAATATCAGATTCAAAAAAGTATTGATGCTATAATACACTATGCAATGATAAAACTTGCAAAAAAAGGCTCATTATGAATAGAATATTCTAATCAAAATACTGATTACCTCTGATGTAACCAATCAATCATTCTCTCACAAAATTGCTGGAGAAGGCAGAAATTTGATTGGTTAAAGTAGAGATAATCAAATTAGGTCAAAGGGTTATTGTGACGAATGTTCAAAAGACCTGTCTTTAGACCCTACCTGAAGTAGCTATATCAAAAATAATAGCTGTTAAAAAAACAGAGCGAAATTTTGGTGTAATTTCCATTTTACTGTAAAAAATCTAAAATCTAATCTAAAAAATTCATTGAGAAACTCCATTTTCTGAAGCATATTTGACAAATTAAATGGTAGATTTGTTTTATTTAACACCATCATTTTTAATAAGAAGAGTCATTCTCTTTAAACTTACCTTCTGATTGGATTGTAGCTATAATATATAACATAAAACTAACAGGTATAGCACCAATAATAACCATAACAAATAATCCTTGTCTTCTAAATTTCAACCACATCTTTAAATATAACAAATAGCTACATATATAACAGCTATATATATCATTATCTGTATCACTTTCCAGAATGAAGACCTAACCTATGGTTAGGCAACAATTCTTAAAAATGAACATAGTATTGACCAGTCTAAAATATGATATTATGACGTTATAGGTATTATCTGCAGCACACAATATTAACCTCCTGAAACTCATCCAATCTGAAACTTATCTAATTGAAGACAAATCAATTGTCTGATTTTCATCCTAAAAAGGTCTAAGCTTATATAATGTTTATGTCATGACTTGTACCGGATATGTGCACAAATATCTTTGCTTCACTATACAGAAAAACTATGCTCCTTCATATAAGCTTACTAAATAAACATTATAAATACATAAGCTTATTCATGCTCACACATATGGTGATAAATATATATCAAAGATTATCAAAATAAACCCAGTAGACAGTAGAATGGTGACAAATTGTTGAATTTTGTCATTGATGCTTTGTCTTACTAACAATGCTATTATGTGCAGTTTTAAAGTGATTTAGTCCTCTAAATATGACTATGATTGCCAAATGAAAGCTTAGAAGAGTCAACTGTTTACAGTAAAAATTCCCATATGTGCATATCTTCATAATACTGATACCATACCTTGTGTTTAAATCGATGCATTTCAGTTCCTCTTTCTTGCATCAAATTTTAATGCTTTTTCTCATCCAAAAGATTTAAATGGATAGGCCAATTTTCTGTATTTTGGCATTCTTAATTTTTACAAGCCATCTACAATTCAAAAGACAATAACGTAAATCACGTTCAACAGGAAAATTAAACAAGAGAAACTAATAATCAACAAGTAAATACCAGTAGGCTCAGTATTACCCAGGTAGGAAAAATTCTGACTCCAGTGTGCTTCTGTAATGCCTAAAATCGGTACATATCAGTATGATTAAAATGAAATGTCTTTTTTAACAAGGTACCAGTACTTATTCTCTGTGTTTATAGGCCAATAAAGACATTATAATAATCTACACAAATATTTTGATAACCCCATCTCAAACGAAACCTCCATTAGATCTATTAAGTTTGACGATGATAAGTTGATCTAGCCTCTTTTGATCTTATTAGCCTAATGAAATTTTCAGGAAATTGGATTTATACTTCTAATAGCTTAATGACATTTTATATATCATTACTATCTAGCCATCATATTAATAAACGAAGAAGACCAAAAATTATATATGTAAGAATAAGCCAGTTCCCACCTTGTGTCCGATGGATATTGATATAGACCTATCTCATTTCCGAGAGTTCTAAATTAAACTATACGAGGCCAACCGAAAGCAAATTGTAGCAATTTTAGTGGTATTGACCTTTCCATGGACAAAGTTTATGTCATTAATCATAAATTTTCCACGTTGTTCTAGATTTATTCAAGTGTTTGAAGCCCTATAAGCCCCATTTCGACTTAAAACTTTCTTTGTTTACCTTTTTTCTGAAATTGTCCACCATCTTTAAAAACAAGTTATTTCCCTTTGACTATATCACAGGGACTTGAACAACTTTTAACAGCCGAAAAAAAATAACTCGACTATCATCAGAGAGTTATTTCTTTCCAATTTTCACGAATTTTTAGGTATTACAAACTATGTCTAATACCTTGACATCACTAGGCACAATTGTGACAAAGGAAGTTTGTGATTTTATTCGATTATACGCTAACGAATACAACCAATCAAAGCCCGCGACAGAAGACTATAAATGACACGGCTGTCCATTCTTGCATGTGTTGTGTCTCGTCCTAAACATCTTCAGTGTTTTGATTTAGTCTACAGCAGAAAATGAAAATGAAAATATATAAGAAACGTGACTAATGGTGTCAAAGGTATAAGACAAAGTTCGTAATACCTTGGCATGGTGAAAATTTGCAAATAGAATTTTGAGGCATAAGCTTATAATGCCTGAATAGAAAGAAGGCCTAGATTGTAACTCGAAAGCAGTAAGCCCCCATTGACATCTAATGGAGTAGGCCTTATAATGCGTCACTGATTTTGTGGTAATTGTAGACCTAATTGTACATCTTTTTCTTTTCATACGACCATTGACTAGACCTAATTTTTTCGACTTCACCAGCGTAGGACGGACAGTTAGTAGTAGGATGAAAAATCCATTTCATATTGTTTTTACGTTAAGGACTGCTGCACTCTGCAATCTTACAACAATTTTATATGAACTGTAATGTAGGGCAATTAGGAAAAAAAATAGAAAGAACAATTATTAAACCCGATAATTAATTATCATACCATATCAAACAGGGTTATCTTGAAACTAGATTGATAAGTCATATGACAAGCCTACTGACGTTAGAGAGACCAAATTTTATTGTAGGATACATCAAACATTAAAAGCGTTATTTCCGTAAAGGTCTCAATTCCACATACAGACAACATATAACGTAACTGTCAAGAGATTATTTCATGTTAACGACATGCATTTTCAATATAAAATACTCATCGTGGCGGCTAGACTTTAACATGGAGGTTATTTTCCCAATACATAATTATAGGGCTTTAAGCTTTAAGTCTTATATCTCAATTGCAGGTATCCGTGTCACTTTTCAGAATGACCATTCGAAGTCATGTTCATCTACGAGTTAATGAAAATCGTGCATGCGAAATAGCCATGGCCCGTTATCCATATTTTCTAGTTTTTTGATTTATGTTTAAGTAATGAAAAAAATGAACCAATCAAATGCTCTGTTAATACTGAATCTGGATTGAAATTTGATTGAACTTGATCCAGTATGGATTCTTGTCAGATTATGGATGATGACTGTAGTTTAATTAAAATGATACCAAACTTTCGATTCGTTTTTTATTAGCTTTTATTTTTAATATAGCCACTTCGTGGTGCAGAAAAGTAAGACGTAACACTCCATTTCATTTCATTTCAGTCAGGGTGTAAAGACTGGTCTCTTAAACATTCGTCAACATAGACTTTCGACCCAATCCTGTCTCAGCCAGGGGTTGGGAGATACAAAAAGATACAATTCTTACACGAATTTACCCCAAAATATCTGTTCAAACTAATTCTAATTTTCAAAAATGTTCTAGAAAGAGAACGTTATCAGACGCTCCAAGAAGACATGTGCCTTTGCGCACCAAAGAACTGATGCATTTTGAATCTCTTCCTCAACAGTTGCCCCCTCCTATTAATTCTGCCTCCCATTACTTCTGTAGTGCAATCTGGTACAGCTAAAACATCCCCTGTTATAATAGCTACAAAAGAGATGTGTTATGAAGGGTAACTGAGATACCGTCATGGACCGCTAATGATTCCCCCAGTCTCGGGAGGCTGTCGCTGCCACTGTGTTTCAGAAGGGTTTCGATGATGAAACAAAGGACAATGACGCATACCTGGAATATAATCTCAATATTAAAATAGGTCTTTTGTGTGATAGCAAATCAAGATAAGGGGATGGGAATGGACTCTGCTCTATGATAATTGATAAATAGATAAGATCCTATTCAGTTTTCTTTCAATCGTCCTCCAACTGCAGTCATATATTTTTTAGCTTTTCAAAATGAATCTTTTATTATTGGTTGCCGCTTTAGGAGGTAAATTATATTTTTATTTTTTTTATTTTTAAATTGAATGTTCATGATAAAGATTTTACTTACCTGCATGTCCTTTGTGATTTGTTCTGAGATAAATAAGGATTATCCACTTAGCTGTATTAGTCAACCTAGATTGTCTGATTCACCTAGTTTTATTATCAACCTAGCTTTTCTAATTCACCTAGCTTGACTGGATGATGAGAGCAAGGGTGGCTAAGAGATTGTTATAGAATTGCTAAACTTGAGGTTCAAGAGCACAGTGTCTCGTAAGTCTTCCGAAGTGGCATAATTCAAAATCATTTTCATTCAGAATTATCGGTGATCAAAATTCATAAGTTAGAATCAATACCCTTCCTTAGTAAAATAAAAATCATTTACCTTCAAAAATCATCTTGAAAGCATCACTGGCATCCGAAATCAACATGTCAGAATGATAGGCGTTCTTTTAAGTAATTGTATGAGGATCATTGGCATTTGAAATCACTATGTAAGAATCATTGAAGAATCATTCAAATTAAATGTCATGGAACCTGTGAGGAAAATCAAGTTGTTACAATGACATTTAAAACCACCCGACTTCGATGTCAGTGTTATCAAAATGTCAGAATCACCAGCCTTCAATATAAATGTCAAAATCATCAGCCCCCAAATGTCAATATCATCACCCTTCCAAATCAAAACGTCCGAATCCCCCAGACTTCAGAAACATTCGAAATCAAAATGTCAGAATCACCAGCCTTCAATATAAATGACAAAATCATGAACTTCAAAATCATCAGCCCCCAAATGTCAATATCATCACCCTTCCAAATCAAAACGTCAGAATCTCCCAGACTTCAGAAACATTCGAAATCAAAATGTCAGAATCATTAACCGTCCATGACAGTATCTCAATTACCATTCATAACACATTTCTTTTGTAGCTATTGTAACAGGAGGGGTTTTGGCTGTACCAGATTGCACTACAGAAGTAACAAAATGTGCGGATGCTTATAAAGCAACTACATCAACAATAGACAAAACAAATCAACAAGCTTTATGCGAGTAAGTTTTATATAAATATATAAATAAACGAATTTTTGGTACAGTTATCGTGCTCTTCTTCAACAGCAAGCAGATACTACGACCCAAAGCTAATCGTTTAATTAGCACGATTTATGATACGTTAAAGAGATAAGGATGAAAAAAATCATAAAACCACCTTAAAAAAAATTCCAGAATTCCTTATTTTGTCAAGAAACGTGTTTTACACGACACACTTTGATTGGTTAAAGATAACCTCTTTGACATTGGGACGGGCCTTCGGTAAAAAAATAATATTTAGATTACAATGTATAGACTAAAAATATGATAAAACAAAATCTGAAATTGTGATCTCTTTGCACATTCGTCGGTAACTCAAAATAGTACTAATGATCTGATACTCATTTTTATTGTCTAGTGCCTTGATAGTGGAGTATGACTGTTTAAAATTATGTGATGCCTTTTGCACTGGTTCTGACAGAAGTGCTCTAGATACGGCTTTAAATGATAACGTTTTACCAACGCTTATTCAGGCTTGCCCAGGTAAGTTATATCTTTTTTGTTCTAAAAATCAATGCAATTCCACTAGAACTAAGCGTTTGATGACGGCACTAATTGCGAAAGTCCTTCTATGATACAGCGTATTTTGCGAATTGTGACGTCATCAAACGTTAAGTTTTAGTGGAATCATACAGTTCTATGGTGGAATTACGAGAACAATACAATATAGCAATAATCAGAACTACAATGATGATTATCAAAAGTATATGATACAGAATAAATATACACTCCTGAAAGTTCATGTGAAATCAGCCACAAAGTGAACAGATCAGAAAGACAAAGGCACAGAGTAAAATGCATATGAGAAGAAACATCAAGTAAAATTTGGAACCACAGATGTCTAATCGAAAATTGGAATGGTGTTCCCGTTATACATACATTTTTTAGAAAACCTCTTTATAATCCATTTAAGAAAATTTAGAATTTGATCTATCACACACATGTAGAATTTGACTTTAAGAAAATTTAGAATTTGATCTATCACACACATGTAGAATTTGACTTTAAGAAAATGTAGAATTTGAGCTATCACACACATGTAGAAACTGGCCTTGGAGAAAATGTAGAATTTGAGCTATTACAGACATGTCGAATCTGGTCTTTAAGAAAATGTAGAATTTGAGCTATTCCACACATATAGAATTTGCCTGTAAGAAAATTTAGAATTTGATCTATCACACACATGTTGAATTTGCCTTTAAGAAAATGTAGAATTTGAGCTATCACACACATGTTGAATTTGCCTTTAAGAAAATGTAGAATTTGAGCTATCCCACACATGTTGAATTTGCCTTTAAGAAAATGTAGAATTTGAGCTATCCCACACATGTTGAATTTGCCTTTAAGAAAATGTAGAATTTGAGCTATCCCACACATGTAGAATTTGCCTTTAAGAAAATGTAGAATTTGAGCTATCACACACATGTAGAATTTGTCTTTAAGAAAATGTAGAATTTGAGCTATCACACACATGTAGAATTTGCCTTTAAGAAAATGTAGAATTTGAGCTATCCCACACATGTTGAATTTGCCTTGAAGAAAATGTAGAATTTGAGCTTTCACACACATGTAGAAACTGGCCGTGGAGAAAATGTAGAATTTGAGCTATTACAGACATGTAGAATCTGGCCATTAAGAAAATGTAGAATTTGAGCTACCATACGTCATGTAGAATTTGCCTTTAAGAAAATGTAGAATTTGAGCTATCACACACATGTAGAATCTGGCCATTAAGAAAATGTAAAATTTGAGCCATCATACGTCATGTATAATCTGGCCTGTTAGAAAATGGAGAATTTGGTGTACTTGAGTACTTGAAAAACATTTAATTTAATGCACAACCCCAAGCTATAGTGTCTTACCTAGTGAATCACATAGATTTGAATCTATATGCCAATATTCTCTAGTAGCGTGTAATGGTATTGTTTATAATTTTCTATTAGGTCAGGTTTGTGAAGCAGATTTGGCAAGTTGTACCAATAATTATACAACAGGTCAACAGTTGCATCAAAATGATCAACATTTAATCTGCAGGTATATATGTACATATCATCATTTTCAAAATTAAATCATATTAATCAAAAGGAGATGTTCTTTACACAGAACCGTTAACTTTTGTTCAACCTCTGACCGATCAAAAACGTTCCCAGAAGTTCAATAGACGCATGCTCTAGTGATTCTTACATTGACTATATCTATATTCGTCGTCATGTTAACATTCAAACGCGGATAATTCTGGAAACATGGATTTGAAGGATCAAATTTTGACGGTGAGCTGTGAACACTATTACTGATCGGTTTAACTAAAACAAAATGCTAAGACCAAGGGACAATTGGCCCAAAAATGGCGCATCTGTCCCTTTAAGTGAGTTTCGGGGATCCATATTTTAACATTTCAGGAATTGTACAAGCCAAATAGCATAATAGAGCTGGCCCGTTGATATGAATCTTACCTTTCTTTAAGGGACGCCGCTCAATTTGAAGTATGTTTAAGTAACATTCAGTCAACATGTAAACCAGAACAACAAGCTCAAATTACAGCCACATTACAACAAATTAGACCAAAAGTCTCTCAAGCTTGCAAAGGTTAGTATAATATTAACAGAGATAATTTGTTTCTATCCTCTTTTCTGTGGGTTCCTTTACTCTCTCAAAATTTAACTTTCATCCAATGGCGTAATTAACCATTACACGTTGACGGTCTCATATGGGCTATTTTGCTCTGGATTGATTTAGATTGGTTGAATGGATGACACATATTAAGTTAATTGTCGTTAAATCTGGAATGAGTGGCGAAACTAAAAGCAAATAAGCTTACATAACGACTGAATTCTGAATATACATTTAAAGGGTGGGAGGGTTTAACTTCTCCGAAATGTATTGTCTTAAAAAGTGGTCTCAAATTCCAAACCATATATCTGTTTCTTGCATAGGTGAAGATTGTCAGGTGCAAGCCACTAACTGTAATGACCTTTGGAGTCAACTCTTAAATGGTGCTGTAGGATCAAACAATAAACAGCTGACATGTGTGTAAGTATCAGTGTGTTGGCGAATTTGAAATTTGACGACAGTAGAACTGGCTTAATTTTAACGTTCGTAGCTGTCCTCAACATTATTTACAACATCAAATTGGAGCGAGAACGAATTTAATGGAACCTGGTAATCGTTTGCAAACTTCACAATTGGTAAAAGGCGATAATGCCCAGTTTGTAGCTTTATCAAACCTAATTCAATTGGTGTTTTTTTTAATCCTTTTCGTACTTTTTGGTCGAGTTGATATTCTTGGGACAACAAACTTGAAATGCTACCATGGGAAAATGCCAGGCAAGCTATTTTCGATATCGACGAATAACAATATTTGTTCAATATTTGTTTTAAAGGAGTGACATGGGTCTCATTATATGTTTACAAGACATTGAAGCTGAATGTACACCCCCTCAAAAGGCAGCAATAGATGCTATGGTCACACCAGCTACCAAAAGATTAACTGACAACTGCAAAGGTATTATTCAGTATTAGTTTGAAGCGTGTTTAGATTCGTCCTAAGTTTTCCTAAAATCGATTATATATATATATATATACTTAATATTTTGTGAAGAGAATATATACGGTAGTGGTAGATTTAATATATTTGACTAACTATATTATATTATATTTTAATCTACAGGTCAGGGATGTTCACCAAAATTAATAGAATGTACGGCCAACTGGAATACATCTATTCAGGCAGCCAAAACTTTAGATACACAATGCACGTAAGTAGTCTTCAAAGTTCAAACGTTTCAGAAATGTTTTTAATTTCTTAATGTCACCATCGGTTTTTCGATTGTTTTGAGCCCCCACCCATATTACAATAAACATCAAAAATATCAGAATTAAAAAAGTAATATGATTTAAATAAGATTTGGGTTCCTCCTTTTTCCCAGTTTTCTCACTGGAAAGTCCACCATGGGACTTTGCCATGACGTTCAGTGGTCGCTAATATCTACTGGTATTATTACAGAGCTGATAAAGGTTATGAAGATTGTTTACATGACTCTGAAGTATTTTGTACATCTCAAGAAAAGACAAATGTAGAGACTTTGTTGAAACCAATTGCACCAAAAATAACTGAACACTGTGGAGGAGGTAAGATTTTCATATCAGACATTGGTCAATAGTTAGTCAATAAAATTTTCTTAAGTTATGACCATTGATGTCCGATTAATTTCTGGGTGAGAATATAATTCCTTACATTAAATTGTAAGAGAACCGGATGTCGCATTTTGATTCTGAAAAGTAATAGGGATAGCTTAAATGAAGACTGCATACTTTGTAATTATAATCTGAGGGTCAAAATTAGGCCAGGTTCTCCGCCGTAGTACAAGTACAGTGATTTCGGCTAATACTTACGCTTTATTTTTCAGTTGGGGATGTAAAACCATGGTCATTCATGACTTTACTGTTTGCCGGTTCACTTTTAGTCAAGAGATTTATTTAAAGATATTAACTACTATATATACTTACTGGACAATTACCACACATTTCAGTATTTATCGATATATAAGCCATCAGCCTCCGTATTAAAAAAAATCATACTACGAATTTCTGTCGTAGATGCATTTCTAGATCTGTATCTTGGCACCCATGAATTTTGATCATGACATTTTGTCGGAAATGGAACCCGGAATTGAAGGTTCTTATCTAGAAAGGATTATATAATGTCATTTTGTCATGAATTTCGTTGGACTGAACCGTTCGGGAGAAAATATATTTGGACCAAATTTCAAATTAGATTCGATTAAATGGTTTAAATTCAACGATTTTTAAAATTAGATTAACAACTTTGTCAGTTTTCTTTTATTTTGAAAGAAATTTGAAAGACGGAGAAGAAATGAAAGATTTCAGAGTTACAGTTTCATCAAAAAACAATCAAGAAATGTCCAATCAACTCTTCGTTTCTCGTCCACTTTCGACCTTTCGACTTCAGTAGACAAATTGACGTTTAATAACAATTGAATGAAATATGTGGAAATTGTATATATATTGTACAAACATAACAATACCCTATACATAATAAAGAAGCTTTTGGTTGATAAATAAACACTTGTACTTGAGTACTTGAGTACTTGAAAAACGTTTAATTTAATGCACAACCCCAAGCTATAGTGTCTTACCTAGTGAATCACATAGATTTGAATCTATATGCCTATATTCTCTAGTAGCGTGTAATGGTATTGTTTATAATTTTCTATTAGGTCAGGTTTGTGAAGCAGATTTGGCAAGTTGTACCAATAATTATACAACAGGTCAACAGTTGCATCAAAATGATCAACATTTAACCTGCAGGTATATATGTACATATCATCATTTTCAAAATTAACCCATATTAATCAAAAGGAGATGTTCTTTACCGTTAACTTTTGTTCAACCTTTGACCGATCAAAAGTAGTATATGAGCTCATAGATTGGTCGCATTTTTCCCCCATTCCATTTTATTTCATGGGAAAAATGTGACCAATCTATGAGCTCCCAAAAAAAAAGACCTAAATTCCCTACATTTCATAAATGCTTACAGCAAAACATCCTACATTTCATAAATTCTTACATTAAAAAAGACCAAAAAAACACCTTCAATCAATTTCCTACATTCCATCAAAAAAAATCATATTAAAAATAGCCTTATATAAAAATAACATCTGGTTTTAAAATAATGTAGAAGGGAGATAACTCTTGTTTTGGAAATTTTCTACTCAAATTTTAAACCTTAAAAATGGCAAATAAAATACTAGATCCAATCTTTAGATTATATGATCCGATTCGTTATTCGTTTAACAAGAAAAAAGAGGATTATATTATCATCTCACCGACTGTTGGTTCTAAATCCCAATTGAATGATGGTGGTAGAATTACCTTCGAAATAAATTCATTATCGAATTGGTTGCTTCTTTCAGATGCTTATTTCAGATGCGATTTCAAAATTAAAGATGGAACTCAGAATCAAGTTCCTCAAACTAATACAACGTTAGAAAACAATTTCTTTCCATCTTTATTTAGCGAGATGGTTTTGGAAGCTGGTTCAAATCCGATAGAAACAATTAAATATCCTGGGGAATTCGACACAATGTTGAAAACAGTTTTATATCCTAAAGATTTCGATTCAGTTTCAGGTTGGATACCTGATGTTGGTGATGGAAGTGTTTTAAAAGAACCGGTAAGAAATGTTGCAAATGATGCTGATTTAGATAGAGTTGCTCGAAACACGATAGAAAGAGTAGCACGAGCAGCTAATCATGGATTTGAAAAACGAGTACTTCAGTACAATAATATTGTTTAGAATAATAGGTGGGGTAATTACGTAAATTGGAAATTATATCCTTTATTCGGTCTGTTGGAACACAGAATGGTTTCCATAGGGTTACTATATAAAATTCATCTACAAAGAGAAATCAACGATGATAAGATATTCTTTGGAGAGAATAGTTCAGATGCAAAATTAGAAATAACGAATCTCCAACTTTACATACCGGTAATAACACCATCAATTGAAGTAGAAACGAGAATATTCAACTCGTTAACTAAAGATATTGAAATAGCTTTTCTTCATCGTAACACGGTAGATAGCATGACTTTAACGGGAGAATCCACCACGTGGTCAATCACTAACACTATTAAACCAGCAAGATATTTAATGGTTGGTTTCAAGAACTTACCAGATTCTCAAACGAATAACAATAATGTCTTTAGAGTGGCAATGAACCAAACTCAAAATTATTTAATCCATAAAGTTCAAGTAAGATTAAACAACGATAATTATCCAACCACAAAGGATTATAATGAATTGTATAGAAACTATAAAAATATGTGTGAATTATTCGGAAATCCACATCAGTTTGAATATGTAGATTTTGCACTTAATCATCCAATCTATTTTGATCTATCAGCTCACCAAGAAGATCTTTTCAAAACAGGAGTGAACATAAATATTCATATTGAAAACACACAAGGAGATGTAACAGGTTATTGTTTATTATTGGAAGAAGCAAAACATTTAATTAAAATAGCAGATAGAAGAATGATAAGAATTGAGTAAAAAATACACCCTTAAAAATGAAACCAGAAACTTTAGTTATGAAAATAATAGAAGCTGCTGAAACAGCTTCTCCAACTGTAATAACTTTCAACGGTAAAAAAATCAGCATAACTAAAAAACTTATTGATAAATACAAATATTGTCAAGTCAGAGACGATATAGATTTAGAAAGAATTGACGCGAACGCGAAAGAAGGTGGATTTTTACCTTTCCTTTTACCTTTAATATTTGGTTGTATTGCAACGGCGGGTGCAGCTACTGGAGGAATATCTGCCGCAGTCAAAGCTGCCAACGCAAAGAAAGCAGCTGATGCTAAAGCCGCTGAAGAACGTAGACATAATTTAATAATGGAAAAGGAAGCCAAGGAGTGGGAGAAATGATAGGCACAATAAAAGAATTTGGAAAAAGATTTGGGGAAGAAACCAAGAAAACTGTTAAACAAGGATTAAATAAATTAGTAGATAGTATTGACACGGGAGAAGTCAAAGTCAAACATAAGGGTAATGGAATATTTTTAAAAAATATACACACTGGAGAAGGAATATATCTTTCAAAGTATAAAGGAGAAGGAGTTATTTTTGGAACAAATTAGAATAATAAAAAATGGGTAAAAAATTTAATCATTCAGAAATATTTCCTAATAACCCAATGCTCATGTGTATATGCGGTAGTTCGGGTTCTGGGAAAACTCATCTCACTTTTAACATGTTGACAACACCAAACTTTTTAGATTTCGATTCTTTGTATATCTACACAACAACACCAGAGCAATCGTATTATCAATTTCTCAAAGCTTTGAATATATACCAAAGAAAGATGTTCAAGAACTATTTCAATATTACGAAGAAAACGAAGAAGAAGTGGCAATAAAAGATATCATAGATAACTACATCGAAGGAAAGAAACCAACGGATATAAAAGTTTTCTTACGAAAAATGTTAATGATCTAGACTTGTCTAATATTGATAGCAAACGAAAGAACTTAATATTGTTTGACGACTGCGTAGCGCAAAGAAATCAAGCTGTTCAACAAGAATTCTTCACGAAAGGAAGACATCACAACTGTCATTGCATATACCAATCCCAATCTTTTTACGGGATGGATTCTATGTTTATTAGAAAAAATGCAAATTGTTTTTTATTATTTGAATTAAACGATAAAGATTTATCTCAAATCATTCAGTTGATAAATCACGGAATGGACAGAGATTCATTTAAAAGAATTGTAAAGCTCAATGGAAAAACCCAGATGAACATGGATATATATTCGTTAATACTAGAAAACCTGCGGGTGAAAGAGTTATGACAGACATTTGTTAAATTTTATTTTTTTAAAAATGAGTAGCGATTGGAATAATATTTTAAAAAGAAACAAAGAATATATCAAAGCTAAGAATAAAATAAAGACCCAAAATCTACAAACTCTATTTCAACCCATATTAAAATCTCAAGAGGATATTAAAAAGAAATTAGAACCTAAATAAATTCAACAACCACCGTTTCCTTCTCCTTATCAAATAGAATAGCCCATTGAATATGATGGTAATATAATTAGGACATTAGATGATATAAATTATCATTTTTCAAACCCTGAACCAGATTTACGAAAGAGCATTTCACCAATCGTTGATAATCAAGGTTTATTGTTTAATGGATATAGAATAAAATTTGAAAAATTTTACCCTTTATTCAAAATCGATACAAAAGACTTTATATTTACAACAACAGAAGGATTAATAGATTTAATGAATGGTGAGGATTTTCATATTGCCGATTACAAGGATTTAGTAGCATACTCAAAATTTCTACATCTAATTAAAAGGACAGGACGCGACACAAAAAGATTAGAAGATGTTGATAAATATATAACAAAACTTATTGCTTATGGAGAAAATTATCCACCAATCATACAAGAAATAGACGAATTGGAAGAGGAGATAGCTAGAGACAACAGTGGACAAGGTATAACGTTTTTATCCGACAGAACGAGGAAGTACTTAATAGATTACGAGTAATATTAGCGGCAATGAAAGAAGGTCATCGATCGCACAGACAATATAATGAAGTAAATTGTATATTAAAAAGACTCCTAGGAAAAGGTATCATAGATAAAAATGATTATAAAAGCCTGATTAAAAATGTCAAATAAAGATCAACTATTCGTCCCCACCTCAAATAAATCAGACATTAAATTACCTCTAAATTATGAGTACGAACTCGATCGCAATCAAGAATATGAATTGGGTTTAAAATATTTCTCTGTTTACAATTCCATTAGAAATATCAACGAAAAAAATAACCAAATAAAAATATCAACAGATAACGGAGTTACGTTCAAAACCATAAGTTTACTACCAGGAAGCTACGAATACATAGCCATTAACGAATACCTATCTGAATATGGAGGAAGTGTCAATGGTAAAAACAATATTGAATTCGAAGGTAATTTGAATCTGAACAAAATAAAATTGATATTAAGAAATAAAAGTCAAGTTGATTTCAACGTAGAAAATTAATTGAATACGTTACTAGGATTTGATAAACAACTATACACCCAATCCACCACACAAAGCTAATATCGAGAATGATATTGATGTGATAAATATACATTGCAATTTGATAAACGGTGGATTTTTCAATAAATACAAACGTCAGATTATTTACAGTCTTCCAACATTCACTGTACCGATAGGATATAGAATTATAGAGAAACCATTTCAAACGACGTATTTACCATATAATTCCTTTATGATTAAAGATATAAATCTGGAAATCAAAAGTGGTAAAAATAGGTTTATAGATTTTGGTAACGAGGAAATTGTTATTCAACTTCATTTAAAACAAAAAAATTAACACTCTTCATTCTCTTCTTGAATAGTAAGGTAATCGAAATCATCAAATTCGTAGTTTTCATCCAAGTTCAATTCTTTTCCGTCGTTGTAAGGATACATGATTCCTTCACTGTTTGGTGCTTTTCTCTTAACGAGATTTATATAACTTCTAAAAACTTTCTTTTGTTTATCATCATCCTTTGGAATAACTACTCCATTTGGTGAAACTTTTTACCCAAGGTTTCTTAAATTCATTCGTTACATCGAGTCCACTAGCTAATCGAATATAATCTTCTACGGATATCTTATCTTTAGAGTAACCCTTAAACGTTTTCTTTTCTTTTAAAACACCATCGGAAGTTAGAATGATATTGTATTTAACTATTGGCGCTAAATATAAACCAAATATAATTCCACCATCACCGTAATCATTCTTTCCTTTACAATAATCATTTTCGGACACCAACCCACCTTCATTTAATTTATCCCAATTGCTAGACGAAATGTATAAACTATCGGTATCCGTATAGTATATTTCAGGCTTATAAAATCCATCTATCACGCGAATAACATTATTCATTATTTTTTTACTGTGAGATAAAACGAATGATCCCAAATGACTAGGTGTTAGTCGTGTAGATTTAGGAGGAATAAATTCTTTTTCTTCTTCATTTATCTCAACTATATATTGACTATCATTTACTTTTTCATAGCTTTTGACGTGTGAATCGTAGTTGGCTTTTAAAGTCGCTTCACTCCATAGATGTCTCGATGTAGTTATATCCTTCTGAATAGATTTACCATACAACGAATTGCCGAATAATTTCATGCAATTACTACCCACACTATTACCTTCTCGTTTATATTTATTTCTAAGATCTCTTAAAATTAAAATATAATCTCTATATGGTGGAGTTTTAAAAATTTCTTCGTATACTATACCATCTAATATTCTAATAATTCGTCCACCGGCTTTCACTATTTCTTGAATATCGACCGATGTTAAAACGTCGTGACAGAAACCATTTGTGAATCTGATTTTAGTGTCAGTTTCCTTTTTACCTTCTTTATTCGTGTAAGTGATTTTATCTTTAGCTGGTATGGGTTGGAAGAACATGTTTTTGGGATATTCAAACCAGACTTTTAAAATAGCAGTTTTAGGTCTGAATTTCTGTTCATTAAAGAGCTTGACAAATTCTTTATTTTCTTCCGGTAGAAACGGTCTTCCACTTTCCTCTCTCGGATATTCGCTATCTAAATCCGACATGGCGGAAGCGTACAAACCGTTAGCATCAAAGGCCATTAGTTCAGTACATTTTATTTTTTTAAGTCTCGAGTGAACCTCCGTTTTATCTTTCGTGCTAGCGCCATATTCTTTGAATAAATCAATTATATTATCATTTGCTGTTTCAGTGTATTCCTTTAATATATTACAAATTTCATCCATTTTATTCGTTTCAAATGATTTTCGATTTGCCGAAACTCTTCCTCCTTTAATACTGTGTCTGATAAAATATCTTATAAAAGGGTGAGTATGTGAGTAAACTTTTTCTACGTTTTCTTTTTCGGTGTGTTTCGGAACCATTCTAGTACTTTCAGTAGTATATGTCTTTTCGGATATGACGCATTTCACTTCTGCGCATGCGCAGCTTTTTCAATGCGTCATATCGGAAAAGACACAACAGTTAAAATGTATTATAACAAACTTCCCGAAACTGTTAAAAATGTATTATAACAGACTCCCCAAACTGTTAAAAATGTATTATAACACACTCCCACCCCAAACTGTATTATAAATTACCCAAACCACAGACAAGAATCACTAATAATAATACAGTATAAAATAACCGCATTAAAAATGTCTTTAATTTTAAAACAAAAAAACAAAAAAATTCGAAGGAGACGGTTTCTTCTCTGCGCTAACATCTCTCATCCCGAAAGTGGCCAATTTTGTCTCAAACAACAAATTTCCTCAGGAGTAGATGAAGTGAAAAGATCTAATGATTCATTTCTATCGCTTGAATAGTTTTCTCCTTGTATTAAATCTTTCGTATTAAAAATATATAGTGTTTATTGAACAAATATGTCTTTAATAAATGTCCATCCTCCTAAAACGTATTTCGGTGCGGGAGACATTCAAAAGTCATTGGGTTCTCTTCCTGGATTCCCATGGGCAAAATATCCCGGAGAAAAACATCTCCCAGGGCACAATTATACAGGTCCAGGCACTAGGTTAGATCTGCGTTTAGACGAAAATGATATTCCCAAACCAGGGGAAGAACCCGTTAATAGAGTTGACGCAGCAGCGCTCAAACACGACATACTGTACAGAAACAAAGACATAACATTCAGACACCAAGCAGACAAACAAATGATAGACGAACTCGAAAATATTCCCAATCCCACTTTCAAAGCGAAATTACAGAGGGTTCTTATCATAAAACTCTTGAAGGCAAAATTGAAATTGGGTATGGGCATAGCAGACGAGATTCACAAAGAATTTCGAAAAAACAAACATTACCTCAAAGTCAAAGTTTTTGACACGCATAACGAAGGTAAGGCTGTAGTGATAGAAAGATTCAACAGGACTCTTAAAAGCAAATTATTCAAGAAATTCACGGAATTGAAATCTCAAAAATGGCTTAAAATATTACCAGTTGTTGTCGACGAATACAATAACAAAATACATTCGTCTATAGGTGTGACGCCAACGCAAGCCTCTAATAACCCGAATATCATAAAGTCCGTCAACACTCGAAACAACTTTGAAAACGAGATTAGCAATTTGAATATTAAACCCAAATTCAAAGTTGGAGATCGAGTTCGTATTTTTGAATATAAATCATTGTTTCAGAAAGGTTACGTCGGCTATTGGACTAACGAGATATTCATCGTTGATAAAGTAAACAGCACATCACCTCCCACGTATGAATTGATCGATCAAGACAAAGAACAAATCATAGGAAGGTTTTATAAATGAACTTCAAAAAACTGACTTTTAAAAATGAATCTCGAAAATGAAGATTTAGATAAAAGGTTAAGAAATTTAGATGTCGACAGGCATTTTCGCTCTCTTAAATTAAGATTTTTTAAATTCAAATGTAAATTTATCTTCAAAATATTATTGAATGTGTTTTATCAGAATGTTATACAAGTCTTTTCAAACACAAACTACGTATATATTTCGTCAATTGGGTCTTCAGCAATACTTACCGCCTACTTCGAAAAACACCTCAAAAAAATCAACTTAAAAAATGAATGCATTTCTCGATAAATACGGAAAAGACACGACCACAAACTTTCAACTTGTGAAATGGGCCAAGGAGTTGAACGTCTCGCCGTTTTATTATTGCATGTGAGATGAAATTGATGAACTGAAATACAAAAAAGGTAAATTTTACGCCATCACAAACATTCATACTTCGGATCAAAAAGGAGTTCATCACTCTGCTCTACACAAAGATTCTTCGAATAACTTTTATTTCTTTGATTCTTTCGGTCTAGAACCGACAGAAGAGATAACGAAATTGACTAGCAAACCAATCAAATGTTCTACGTTTCAAATTCAAATGCCAGGACAAAAGCTGTGTGGACAACTGTCGCTTTGGGTTTTATATCGGTTGAGTTTGGGAGAAAAGTTTGAAGAAATTATAATAAATTTAACTTAATAAAAATGGCAAACAAGTTTGGATTAGGGTCTTTACCTCTAGAATCTAAAAATCCAATGACGACGTTTATAAACAAAGCGAAACCTTTTTTCGTGGATCAAATCGGAGACACCTTGCAAGGGGATATCGATATGAACAATTTCAAAATAACTAATTTAAAGTTTCCAGGAAACGATAACGATGCCGTGAACAAGAAATATTTACTGGATCAAATAAACGCAATTCAAATAGATAAGGACCATGTTGAAAATAGAATAAATGACGTGAAAAAATACTTCAGACAAAATATTAAAAATCTTGTGAACGAACCTAAACTACAACAAGAGTTAACGAGTTTGAAACGTCTTATTCAAGTGGATAAAACAAGTCAGTTGCAAAATTTAATATCTAAATTAGACGATAAGATTACGAAGGTAAAAATAGACGTCCAACGTTTAATAGACAACCCAAATGTAAACGAGGATAGATTGAAACGAAAACTAACCGCTTTGGAAAGAAAACTTGGCGAATTGCTAGCAGAACTAGACAAGACCGCGGACAAAACCGAGTTACAAAATTCGATATCCAATTTGAACGAAAAGATCGCGAAGCAAAAATCAGATGTTCAAGATATAATTAACACACTTCCCATAGACAAAGATACGTTGAAACGACAATTGACTGCTTTGGGTACTAAAATCACGGACGAATTAGAAAAAGAAGTGGGTGTGATTAAAAACTTTCTTCAAAATAAATTTCGAGATGATATGAAAAATTATATTAAAGAACAGGTCAATCTTTTGGTATCTAGAATTCATGACGATTTTTTGAGACAAGAGAGAAAGACTAAATTAGAAGCTATTGTCACGGACAAGTCGTATTATTTCAATCTTCCATTCGAAAGTGACACTGTCATAGATGGAGAAAGGCCATATGATCAAATAATATTTAAATCAAACAAATACGGATTCAAAGTAGAAATAAAAGTAGATGTTTTCATGGATGGAGAAGGTAAAAACCTATTCGATATCGGCGAAACGGAAGCGTTTACTTTTCGAGGTAGATGTCTGATTCAAATAGAGTTTCCCATGAAGGTTAAAGTCAATAAAGTAGTCTTCAAACAAATCAGTGCCGTTAATCCTGTCAAACATATTTCATTATTCAATGATGGTAATTTGGAAGAGAATATACGTTTGATTGATAAAAAGGATGGGATATATGAAATTGAAACGAAAAATGGTAAATATGTAGACACCTTTAAAATGGAAGTAGAAGATAATAAGAATATTATAAGAATCAAAGATTTAGATATGATATTGGAGACGGAAAATCCACCATCAACTAAAATAATCAAAAACCCAACACCACTACAAGAATCGAGTAGTTATGAGTTTTTACGATCAACAGACTTTGAATACGTAAAACTGTATTTCGCTTTAGGTGAAAAATACACCTCAATCGATGTTCATAAAAGTCAACAAGAAAGAGAGTTTATAGTATATTTATCGTTTGCCGAAGATTTCGACTTCGAGCTTAAGGCTAGTGGTTTTATTTTTAGAGCCAAGATAAACATCGAAAAAGAAAAAATAAAATATTCCTATCATCTTAAAGAGGACCATACGAAAAAAGAAATGTCGTTAGTACGCGTAAATGTTTTTATTTTGAATATCCAAAAGTTTAATAATGCTAGGATTCTCGAAGGGTTTGGTTTATCGGAAATTAACTTAATTTAACGACTTAAAAAATGGAACTCGAAAGCAGACAACAATACATGATAGACAAACAAGAAGAGTTGAAAATAAAGTTGAGACAGTGCAATACATGCAGGAAAACATGGAGTAGAATCGATTCTTTTTTCAAAACAGCGAGCACAGTTCTAACGGTAGGAGTAACGGTGGCAACGGCCGTGACTGGTGGATTAATGCTTCCGGTCATCGTCCCAACCGTATTGGCTGCATAAACAGCCGTTCAAACGACCTCTTGCGGTCTCATCACTTTAGGTTTCACGAGCAAAAAGAAAGCTCATTATAAAAAGAAAACGGATATCTTGAATATGTATCTTAATCAATTGTACATCTTTTTCGAAAGATCGAGAGAAGACAAGAACATAACAGTTGAAGAATTAAAAGAATTCAATGAAATTTTGGACAAATTCCATACAGAAATATCAGCGGTCAAAATAAAGAAATAATCAAAAATATATACTTAAAAAGATATGAATAAAATCGAACACGATGAAACATTGATAGAAATCAAAAGGTCGAGAGTTGGTAGAGGAGGAACTGATCTACTTAAAAAGATAAATGAATACGAAGGCGAAAATTGTTATATACCTACAGATGGTCACTGTTTTATCAAATGCGTCAATCGTGTTTTGAACAAAGATTTAACGTGTAAATTTCAAGAATACATCAACGGGTTTTCAAAAGCAAATAGAAAAGGAGTGATGACTTGTGCTAGAATGAAGGAATTCAACAAGAAATTTAACACTTCGTTTCAAATTTATAATCCCAAAAACAGACATTTTCATCCCAGAGACGTTCACGATGAATTAGATTGGGTTTTTTACTTACACAATTCGCATTTCTGTCTGATTAGAAGAAGCCAAAAAAGTTTGGGAATTCAAGAAATAGAAGACAATTACGAACAGGTGTGGAAAACGTGTAGAGACGACAACGCAGTAACACAGGTTTCACCTCTCAAACTAAACGTGCTTTCGAGTATGAGTGATGATGCGTTATTCGCTTGGGATTGCGAAACGTATTCAGAAAAAAAAAGTCGAAGAGCAATTTCTTATGCCTGCACTTTAATTAATTTAGAAAAACTAAGAAAAAAGTTAGAAAAAAATATCTTTCCTACTGATAATGTTCCAGAAGAATTTCATGATAAACTAATGAATGTAGTAGAACTATTTGTAGGTACAGATTGTATAGATCAAATGTTGAAATATTTAGGTCAATATGATAGAAAGAGATTAATATTAATTTCTCATAACGGCAGTGGTTTCGACAACTGGATCGTGCTTAAAAATACAAAAAAACTAACGCATTGCCCTTTAAAAACACCCAGAGGAATTCTATCTTTTCCTTTATCTAATCCATACACAGATGAAGATTTACAGAAAATATGGAAAAGACAGAAAGAAATAAAGGGTAATTATTTACAACATATTAATTTCACGTGTTCCTATCAACACGAATCCTCTAGTTTGGCTGCATGGGGAAATTCTTCCAATCTGCCCGCGAATTTGAGAAAGATTGCCGACGTAGATATCGCTAAATACACGCAAGACAACTGGGAGGAATTGAGACACGAATGGGAACCTTACGCCAAGAGAGACACTCTCTGTTTGGGAGCTTGTTTGATAAAATACAACCAAGTCACGAAAGAAGTTGTAAACCAAAATATGTCAAATAATCTAACGGCTCCATCTTTATCTTTAAAGGGTTGGTATTATTTATATCATTACGATAAAGAAATGGTGGAAGAAGAATGGTATGAAACTACTAGAATGGTTGCGAAACATACCGAAAAAGAAAATATAGAAAAAGTTTATTCGCACACTAATCCTTTTATAAGAAATTTTATCAGACAATCTATTAAAGGAGGAAGAGTTTCGGCAAATAGAAAATCATTTGAAACGAACAAAATGGATGAAATTTGTAACGTATTAAAGGAATATATTTCACAAACAGAAAGTAATAA